CCAGGGGAGGAAGGGACTGCTCTGCAACCTAATTTGATCAGCCTGAATTTGCTCCAGAATTGTCCAAGGTTGCTGGGGATTGTTTACATCCTGCTTGTCCTACTCTGGCCGCCGCAGGCAGGCAGCTCCGCTGACACGCTCCAGCCCGTGCCGCCCTTCTGCAAAGCGCCTCTGTCCTCCTCAACCCTCACAGGGGTCTCTATGCAAGAGGCTTTGCTCCATCCAATGTGGCTTTGCAGAAGACAGGAGTCTGGCGGGGTCGGAGGGGATGCCGCAGCTACCTGCAGGCCAGTAGCGGGGGAGGAGGCGATGTTTGGCATGAGCTGCTTCCTCCACCCGCCGTTTCGGGCAGTGGAGCAAAGGGAAGGGGAAACAGGAGAGGAAGTGCCTGAGGGTGGAAATCTGCTTGTGCTGTCCTGCAACGCCCACAGAGGGCTGGATCTGGCTGTTCCCTGGGGCAGGTCAGGCGATGATGGGGCCCGTTGCCCAGAGCTGGGCTAACCTTTCATCAGGTGCCCCTCCTGCAGCACGAGAAGCCCTGGGGGGGGTGGCTGACAGAAATCCCCTCACTGTGCTGCATGGCTCTGGAGGCACTTACCGAACCCTGGTACGGAGTTTGGAGGACCTCCTCTGTGGACTGTGGGCATCACAGGTGTCCTCAATGTCAAGCGAAGGTTGGAGGCCCCGGTCCTCCTGCTGCCAACCTGCCTGTTCCTGCTGGGAGCCATTAGTCATCACAAGGGGCAGGTGGCATGAGCTGCTATATAAAGGTTTTGAAATAAGCAGAAATGATATTAAGCCCATGGAAATAAAGTTCCTTCCATAAATAGCTGCTGCGGTGTATGGAGGCTCCTTGGGCGGGTGGAAGAGAGCTCAGCGCTCAGGTTATATTTAGGGCTTTGAGTAGCAGTTTCATGCCAAGCTTATTAATGATGCTGGCTTGTGCACCAGATTTGCACATTCTGGGACAATTTTCCCAGTTGGGAGGTGCTTCTGCAATGCCAGAAGGACCCTGTGCTCTCTGTCACTGCAGCAAACCCTGAGCAAGCGCCAGGGCTTTGTGCCTGGCTCCCCGGAGAGTCGCTTCGGCCAAGGGGAGTCCGAAGTCAGCTCCTGCTAGCTTTGGGTGTCTCCACCGAGGTTTTGTGGTGGGGCAGGAGCATCTCTAGCTCCCCCAGTGGGGCAGCTCCTGTGGCGATAGGGTGAGTTAGAGGCTGGGGGAACTTTGGTCTAGGAAAAACCCTGTGGCCTGGAGCCAGGGAGGCCTGGGACAGGGGCTGGCTGACCGCAGCAGCACCCTGCAGCCTCTCAGGCGAGGCTGGAGACCTGTGCAGTTCTGGGCTCTCTCTCATCTTCGACACTCCTGGTTGTTTTTGGGGCGACGCTTGCAGCAGTGGCCTTTGTCTGCTCGCAGCAAACCCCAGCCCGCTGGGGTGTTTACCCAGAAAGGAAACCACAAGCGCACAAAAGCTCGCTGCACGGGCTCCCCGCAGGCTACGTCTATGGGGCAAGGGACGTGCTGGGAGTCAGACCAGTCCCCTTCTGCTCTCAGCCACTGCCAAAGGCAGCACCCACCACAGCCCAGGCACCATAGAACTCCTCACAGGCAGCTTGTGGCATCAGGAAGAGGGGTCCCTGTGGTGCTCTGTGCCCCCCTGCCCAGTGTTAGCCCCCGTGGAGCAAAGTGGGGCATCCCCTTGCTATCTCCCATCCCTGCTAGTGAGATGCGGGGCACCTCGGCTGCTCGGAGCGGTCCCCGGCTGGGAGATAGGACGCAGCTAATGCATCTCACAGGCTGTTCTGTGCCGGCGAGCTAAATATAACCCAGAGAGCTGAGCGGAGGGGGCTGCTTTGTAATGTAAATAGGAAAGGAGCTTGGTCACAGGCACAGGCAGAGGCAGAGGCAGGGCAGAGGGGAGAGCTGGCAGGGCCTGGCTGGGGAGAAGGAGCTGGGAGCCCTGTGGGGCCGAGGGGAGCTCGTTGTGTCTCTCTGCCATCTTCTCTTCCTACTGCCTTCAGCTCTGGCTGGGGTCTGGGTTTTCGTGAAGTCGCAGGGCAAAGGGTGTGCAGGCCCGCTGTCCCCACCGGGCAGGGCAGGGGCTGGGAAGGGAGGAAAGCAGAGCCCCCGGCTGCAGGGAGAGAGGGGCAGAGAGGGGCCCTCTCTCTCCGAGGCCTGCCTTTTAATCCTGTTAGCCCAGCTGTGCAGAGCAGCGTAATCAAATTCCCATTCATTCCCAGCAAGCCAAGCCCGCTCTGCTCTGACATAGACATCTGTCTCTGCATCCATCTGTGCAGCCGGGGAAAGGAGATGGCTGGTACCCCCCGGCACGGCTCAAGGGAAGCTCGCAGCGCTGGAAAGTCCTACTGAGGGGGTGGCTCCTCGCAGACCTCAGTCCAGGGGTGACAAGCGGGTGTCTCACCATCCCCTGCCCTGACCCTCTCCAGAGCCAGAGACAAGCTCTGCTTGCTGGGCATCATGCTTGGGAGAGCTCCCAGTCCCACCGCTGGTGGCCGGCCCCACTGTCAGGCACCAGCTCTGGTGGATGCAGGTGTGGGATGAGTTTGGAGTCAGCATCACCCAGTGCTCGGCGAGCAGCGCTGCTGCGTGTTCACTCCGTGGCTCTCACCCTGGATGCTCCTAGGTGCAAGGCAGCTGTAAACGGGGGATTGGTCTGTGTGTAACAAGAGATGGAAACATCCCAAGAGGCAGTTTTGGAGAAACGGGGAGGCTGTGAGCACAGCCTGGCTGTGTGGGGACACGCCTGTGGCGCTGCCAGGGCAGGGCAGCTTAATGCAGCCCCAAGCCCCCATCTTAAACCAGGCACGCTCCCTGGTTTAAGCCGATCAGGACCGTGCTGCTGCCAGAGGGGATGCTGCTGTCCTCCCTCCTGCTGATGTTTCTCCACCTCAGGTGAGAGGCTGCGTCAGGAGCAATGCAAAACTGGGGCAATGCAAAACTGCACCCGCAGGCTCCTGGCTGGGAAGAGCTGTGATCCCAGAACCAAAATTACCATCCCCTCCCTTGGCCATCCCCTCCCTTATCTGATCCCAGCTCACAATGAATCCCACAGGTAGGTATCCTGCCAGGTTTGGGCTAAGCAGGCAGCTTAACCCTTTCCTTACCAGGGGACTGGACACACTAGCATAGAGAGACGGGGCCGTGCTGGATCACAAAACCACCCAGCGTGGTGACCCCCATCCCTCTCCGGTGGCGCCTGCAGAGAAGCCAGTGCCAGCAGGGCCGTCCCCTCTGGTCTCCTGACCAAGAACAGCCAGAACTGGGCTTGTTATGGGATCCCCCACGGTTCTCCACCAAGCCCGAGGGACAGGACTGTGGAAGGACCCACCGACACAGCACAGAGAGGAGGTCCCGGTGATGTATCTCAGGAAACAGGGTTTCTTGCTGAGTGGGAATAAGGAATCGTGTGTAACAGGATCTGGCAGTTAGAAGGAGCTAAGAGATAAGGAAGTCTTTACCTTATCAGCACCAGAGAAGAAGTGGTGACTGTACCCCCCCTCCAAGAGGAGCTAAAAGACCAACAGAAGGGGAACGTCCTGACTCAAAACGATAATGAAGACTGATAAACCAGCCAGACTCTGAAGGCCAGCCAAAGGGGCCCAGCGACTCAAATCAAACCCAAAGAGACTTGCCCCCCCCCCGCCCAACAAGGAGCATGCGTGCTAATTTACACAGCAAACGAGGCTAATTTAAATATAATTAACCAATAGCAAACATTACAGTGATCGCCAGCCAACAGATATGGATTTAGGTGGGTTATCTTTAATCATGTAACATGGTGGTAGGTTTTTTTGGAATGGTGTGCTAGCTTTGTGCAGTTACCACCTAGCACCCACCTCTGCAGAGAAATTAAATAACAGCAAATACCTCGGCTCGGCGTGTGAGTTGGCCGTGGCAGACCGGGTAAAGAACCCACATTTGGGCTAACACCGGGGCAGGGCGTGTTACTTCGCCAGCAGCCTCGCCAAGCCGCCATGCTCCCAGGTAGTGTGAAACGTGAAAGGGAAATTGTCTGCAGGCGGAGGAGCAAATGCGATTTCGGTGGTAACAAAACCTTTCTGCTCCCCGATCTGTGAGCTAGAATTAGGCATCCAGAACCTGCCTTTTCCTCCCTCTGCACAGCCGTTAGTGCAGTGGGTTGTGTTCGGTTTCAGAGCTCGCCTGGTGAGATCAAGGTCTGTCGATGGTTTTTGGCTTGTTTTGTTGGGTTTTTTTCCTTTTGATGATGGAGTCTGAAGTAAGGCCACGTGCCCCTTCAGAAATGCCACCCGGGCGGGCTGCAGGGGCTGCCTCTGCTCACTTGCTTTTCTCTCGCTGCACAGAAGTCACCCATGGCCCCCCTCGCTGATCCGAATGAAGGTCTGCTGGAGCCAGGCAGGCCGAGCAGCATCTGGTTGTGAAGAGCTTTTTGCTTTTTGGAGCTGGGGAGAGGCTGAGCCTGCAGGCTTGTGCTGTGCGCTGCAGACCCACACTGGGGGACAGATGATGAACATCAGTCTGTCTCTTTGCTCTTTGGAGGCTGGCTCGGAGCCTCGCAAATGCTTGCTGCTCATAGCTGGAGGGTGTTTGGAGACACAGCACACAGGGGGGGACACATACAGCTGGGGGGCTGTGAGTGCTGCAGTAACAGGCGGGGTGAGGATGGCACAGGGCGGGCTGCCAGAGGACAACCGCGCTGCCATGGCCCCGTTTGACAGGGTGGTGCTGGAGCAGCTTTGGGAGAAGGGGCTGTCTGGAGCCCGGGGACTTTTGAAGAGCCGCCCGGCGAGGAAGGTGAGGCTCCTTGGCACGCAGCCCAGCGCGTCAGGGCGTGCTCCTGCTTGCCGAGGGTGCACGCGAGGCTTCTCCGGAGAGGGCCCGACAGAGGAGGTGGCCCCGCGCCGTGGGCTGCTGGAGGAAGAGTGCGGTGCAGCCGGCTGCAATGACAGCCGCCCTCACACTTCCAGGAAGTGCAGAGAGAGGAACCAGGTGGAGGGTGCAAACAAAGCCGGGGCCCCAGGCGAGCAGCCGGGTGGCGGAGCGCTGCCAGGGACCTGCCCTCGGGATGACTCCGGAAAGCAGCCACCGGGGGAGGAAGAGCGAGAGTGAACCCCGGGCCGGCTGAGCGCATCAGCTCGTGCTGCGGCAGATGTGGCGGCACCGCTCCTGGGACGTTCCCCAGAGCCCTCCGGGGGACGTAGATACGAGGTACCCGCCGAGCCGGGCTCTGCCACCTTCCTCTTGCCCTCGGGGGGCCGCCGGGCGCTGCCCCCTCCCTCTTGCCCTCGGGGGGCCGAGGTGCTGTGGCTGGCGCTGACAGCCCGCGCTTCGGGGGGTGGGGGAAAGGCTTCCCATGCTTTCCCAGTGCCTCGCCACCAATCCCCTCCTCTTCTCCCAGTGCCAGCGTCGGGCTTGCGCAGCACAACCTCCCCAGCAGGGCTGCCGGAGGGCTGCGCGGGCGCTCTCGACGCCGCGCCTGCGAGTGCGCGGGGTCAGCGGGGCTCTGCCTGGGCTCTCGGGTTCCTCCTGCTGCTGGTGGGAGCCGGAAGGTGTGTCCCCATCCCCGCCCGCCCTCCTGGGATCGGCTGGGGGCGCGGGGGGGCCGC